ATTATTATTATTATTATTATTATTATTATTAGCCATTCTTCTCGGTTGGCCTGGTTTGATCGGAAACTGTCGCACAATTTTCCTCGCTTAGTGCCGCTGGTCTCTGACCGGTCGCTCTGGCATAATGGAAAGCAGTCCTCGTGAATCATTTGGGCTAGCATACGGTCGGACGTAGTGTTGTACGTAAGGACAGTCACGTGAGAACCAGAATTTTCTAGCTCGATGGAGTACCAAATTATTTTCCTTACCAATGGTGCTCTGCTCGCGCGTCTTCGGCGAGCAGGAGCTCCGCTATAATGGCATATGCTTAAAATTATGTTTAGAAAAAGGCGCAGGGTTTATTTCTGCTCTTTTCTGAAAAACAGAAGAGAATTACTCTTGTTATGGATTTCTAAAATCAGCGTAGCCTTCGTCTAAAAATTCCAAGAGAGAAGTTTGGCCGGTGACCTAACTCGAACCTGATTTAGGAAGGAATTACCCGTATGGCCAGTGTCTAGTGTCTCCGTCTGCCTGTGTAACAAGATTACCATGAGCTACCACATGGTTGAAAGCGAGCTTACAAGCCTTGACAGATAATTGAGATCGAAGCTTACAAAGGATTATTGAAAATGTACCGATATAGTGGAGTGCGAAATTTTAAACATGATACGGCGACTTGACCCAGACTTTACGGTTATAAATTTCTTGTCATGCGGTAAACGTGGAAGGCTTTTATTTTATTTGAACAAGAGTTTCTAGATAAAGTGATATCTGATTAAAGATTGATTGATTGATCTGATTGATATCTGATTGAGATCGATCTGATTGAAGACTTGATCTGTGCGGCGACGTGATGCGCCGAAAGATAGAAGAAAACCGCATAAAAATATTCCACGGTCACAGTGATCTATTTTAGCTCTGCAACAGAGATGAAATTAAATCTACGACATGTACAGCGGTACGTACCTCATAATCATTGTTTTCATAGTAAACGAGATAGGGTGAAGGGTAATAGATTAAATACCCATATAGGCCTTATTCTTAAGCTCATTTCTCTCGATGTGTTTTTAGATCAATCCCGCCTTCAGAAACCTCGAAAGAGTCTAGAAGTAGCTGACTTCGTTCCCAGAGCTTTTCCCTTAGAGATTCCGAAAAGTCCCGGCAACGAGGTTGAAGGGGTAGCCAATATTGTGACACGCATATCACATATTTTTTAACTCACATTTTATGTCACACATTTCTGCGACGCAACGCACTTTACACGCATTTTCATCTTCCACTGACGAAAGCATATAGGCAATTCATGTGCAAATATTATCCGCCGAAGGGCTGGGTACCATGTCTTAAAATACCTATAGAACGATTCCAGCGAAAGCAAGCCATTATGGGGGTTTAATTTTATTCATCTTGTTTGTGTGGAGCGTGTGTGGCATACATATATATGATGTTAATTTGACGGACAATTGCTCAGTCGAAGGAAAACAAAAGGTCCCAAATAGGTTATAATCCGCTAGCAGAAGGTTTTCATCTTGAACGATCGATGACGATAATCATCTCATTTAATATTATCTACAGTTCTTGGACATTCCAAATGATTACTTTGTTAGCTTTGAATGCCAGTTCTCCAATTTGAACAGACGTGTTTTATAAAACGCCGTCTAGATTCGACTCGTTACACTGTAAAAGTAAAAGTTGGTCAAGAGAAGAAAGAAAGAAAGACCTGAACAGCACAAACAGGAAACTACGGAGAAAAGAACCGCAGATAAAACTGTAAATTATAAACAAAGCTTAATTAAATGCGAAGAGGTTGGGATTACTCAGCCACCAACTTCATAAAAGAAGATCATTATATCCATATTCAGTCTCATTGGTTAGAGCATAAAACAGTATATATAACCAACCAATCAATATTTGACAAAAAAATATCATCGATACACCTGTTGTGCTAAGCTGACCATGTTCTTGGTTGTTTTTGGCTTATTTAATTTTTGTTTGCAGCAAATTTTCACTGATTCTTCACGGATTTGTATCAGGTCTATTTTTAGATAAAAAGCAACTACTTTTCCTATTTCCGACAGGAATTGGAAAAAAAGATAATTTCGATTATAATTAAGGATAAGGATAAGGATAATTTCGATAAAAAGTTAGGTATCATAGTATCATAGTACCATGCAGTATATATTAGTTTTTGTTGTTGTTGTATTTTTTTTTTTTATATTATCGCGTTGTGACGAGCTACGAGCGACTTCACTGAAGGTAGTGTCTAAATGCATTTGAAAACATCTCATTTTGAAGTCAGGCTTACTGGATAAAATCGTTTGTGCTTTAAAGAGCAAATACAGGCAACAAAAAAAGCGCACAGAAGTTAGCAATGAATTGATTTGTGGTATAAGTGAGCTGCTCGCCTTGCATCAACCATTCTGTCAAACATGAACAAGCACAATTTCGTGCGCTTTCGGGTTTTGTAACTTGCCGTAAGATAACTCTTCAGTAACCTACATAATAACCCTTGTTTAATAGGTAGCTCATGGCTTAACTTGATTGCTTCTATAAACTGTCTTTTCTCAATGATGACAACACAAATTATGCAAATATTCCGATGTGAATTATCCCTTAGAGTAGAGAGATACACCGTTCGTTGTAGATTATATTTATTTCGGGGATTTACGAGAAACACTGTCGCTCGAAACTTCATCTTCTAGATAATGAAAGACAGGTTGGTTGTAGAAGCTTGACTCGAAAAGCTTAGTTTAGAGCTGTCAGAAATTTTTCTTCTATAGTTACTATTCACAAACGAAAAGAGCTATGACTGCAGTAAGCAGAGCTATATTTTCGACGAAGTGATTTATAAAATCAGTTTATTTTGTTTTTAATAAACATGAACACTTGTTATAAAGAGGGTTTTGTGCCAAGCTGGATTGAAAGCTCAATTATTAGCTTAATTATTCTTCCATCTTTTAATTTCAGCTTTTCTTAAAAATTCATGACTGCAGACAGTGCTTGTTGTGTAATATACATTGAGCTGTTTGAGATGCTATCTTATAGGCTTCAGAAAAAGGAGAGAGCATAGTTACATTCAGAAATTTTCCTATAGACCATTATTTTTTTCTTTTCCGTGCAATAAAAGGTTTACCACAGCAAAAAGATGGGCAATAAACTTTCTTATCGGCTTAGCAAGATAAAAATTAACATTTCATTAACTGACAAGCAGCAAAAGTCAACTGACTTTACGTGATATAAAAATAAACTGCAATGAACATGTCAACTAACAATCAGGTATAAAGGAGAAAAACACCGGCATTTGTCCTGTTTTGAATTAAGCAAGACACTTATAGACAGATGAGCTTAATTTTGATGTGTTCTCAAATAAAGTTTAGTCAGGCATTGCTTTCAGCAAATTCACTTTTTCAGTTTGTATGGCTTTTTCCCTGGAGCGGTTAGAATTAAAACTGAGACAGCTGCGTAATGATTTTAAGCCAAATTTAAAAGCTTTTTCATGTCAGCGCTAATGTCCAAGAAAAGCCATCAATGATTAGTTATTTCACTGTGTATTTTAAATGACGAAAGCGAGACTCTCCAACAAACGAGGTGATGACTTTGTAATCAACACCTTTTAGCAGGTGCACCTTTTCATCAAGTTTTTTTCAATTTAAAGAGAGTATTTGGTCAGCTTCAAATTTCCACTTGACAATGCTCTTTCGTCATTTGTTGACAGCACTCAAGCTCTTGTACGTCGTGTATCAAAGGAAATAGTGATGAGCAACACAAGAATCCATTACGTTTTTCTGCTTCTTGTTATTTCTCGTTGTTGTCAAACGAAAGAAACGCTCTACATTGGTGGGTTGTTTGGTATCGATGCTAGTCGTGGTGGATGGAATTCGGCTGGAATCATCCCCGCTGTTCAAATGGCCATTGACGAAATAAACAACAGCTCCGGTATCCTAAAGGATTACCATTTAGAACTTTTGATAAAGGATTCTCAGGTTGGTAAAACAAATGATTATTTTATTTTAAAAAATTTTAGGGCACCTTTAAGTGAAAGTCTTCTTATAATTCAGTCACAATATTTTTGTCGCTAAGAATGATATTTTGATTTAGACAATACGTAGAATACATGGAGTTTAGACAGGAATTAATTGTATTTGCTTTTCTCGTCGTGACGACTACTGGACATGACAAATATAAAAAAAGAAGAAGAACGGAAAGAAGTACGCTCGTGTAGTGGATTTGTGGACAGTTTTCCTATTTGTAATACTGCAACTGTGAAAGATTAGAACGATACGAAGAGACCACGGACGCTTGAAACATTTTTTTGACACTTCAGGTCTTGTAATTTGCTTAGCTTGGGGTAGAATTTTATAATTTCTTTTTTTGTTGTTGTTCTCAATGAAAACCTTGTTTCCGTCTTTCCTTGATATATAATCATTCCAACTTAGTTCACGTTCTTTTAACAAATTTTACGTGTATATAAAGAAAAACCTTAAACCCTAAACTTGAATGTATTGCTTCGACCAATTAACAGCTGAGAAAAGTCAGTAAGAGTTGAGAAAAGTTTCTGCAAAAATGCTATCCATAGACTACGTTATTAATATTTGTGGCATAGTTAAAGAATACCACCACCGAGGTTTCCCTACATTTTTAATCGAAAGCGTGCTATAATTAAGACCATGTTCTCCAGTAATGACGAAATTCCCGCAGAGAACCAAGAATAATGTAGTAAGTGAGTTTCTCAAGGGAAAGTGAATTGTGATAACTTCAGTTTTTAATTTGAGATCAAAAACTCGTGCCTGTGTAAACTCATGAGAACAGCCCTGAATATCCTCAGAACATTAGTAGAGATATTTTGACTGAACAATCATGTTTTTTGCTTTTCCTCTTACGTAATATCTCATTTAGCTTCTGACGTTTCAAAAGTCGCGCCCATGATCCATGCCCCTGTGAACAAATGGAGGAAGAAGGGAGAGACTTTTCATTGATGGATATTGATGGATATTGAGTTCCATTTGCTGACATAGATCACTTTAGCCTCTTACTTAAATTTTCACCTTTTACAGTGCAACGTTGGTGAAGCTGTCCGAAGAACCTTGGAATATATTTCATCCGGGAAACCAAAACTTATGTTCTTGGGTCCCGGATGTTCCAAAGCAGCATTACCGGTGGCAGAGGCTATTCATTACTGGAATGTTGTGCAGGTAAGTTTAATAACACTGCTACTAAATGCTTGGCGCTGAAAATTATTAGTAGATAACATCAATGTAATCTTTTACAATTGCAAATTTATGAATGAAAGGTAAATACTACTAGGAAGTAATTCAATTTTAATTCAACTCTTTATTTACGCTATGCAGGTTATTTACATACGATTTATAAGGTAAAGTGCCAAAGTAATAAAATATCAAGAAGTATCAAGCCATAAAGAAATCAAATGTATTTGTGAGGGGTAATCAAATGTAGCAAGAGCTTTCAGGCTGGGCACCGCCATGGTCAGATAAATAGCAGCAAAACAAATTTATTCAGCTAAGCTAGACCTACATACACTACATTACGGCATTAATACAGTACGTTCACACTTATAATGGGCGACCACGCACAGTTTACAAGGGTCTTCATGACGAAACAATAGGTATATAACACAAACAATGCCCCTAACCCTAAAAACGAAAGAGGTGCAGATTAACGAGAACGAATCAAAATAGAAGTTTTAAAGAGCTGCAGGTCATCTGCTTATTTCACACTTATAATACGGTAAGATACGATGAAGGGTAAAGGATTTAATACCCGATAGAGGCCTTATTCCTAAGGTAATCCCAATCAAGATTTATTCAGACCACTTTCAATTTCTGAAATCCCTGGAGGTTCTAGAAGTAACCAACCCTGTAACGAGACTTTTTCTCATGCGGACAGTCCAAGCGGGTTTACATGCATTTTCACCCTCGGTTAACCCTAACCCAAGATTAAAGTTAACTGGAGTTTCAGTTTTTCTTGTATAAAAATGTTTTGACTGCTTAGTTTTGCGTAGTTTGAGATTACTCACGTTCATATAAACAATGTAAACCAAAAACTTCACCGAAAAGTTACAAAACTGAAATCAAAATTCTCGCTAATCCTGGGTTAGCTGAATCGGACAATTTACCTTTACAGATAAAACTACAGCTTTTTATGTTTACTGTATACCTTTTCAGTTGATCATACATATATTAAAGTTAAAGTATGGGCGTCAAATAAACCATTCGGTTTTCTAGTTGGCCCCCATATTTAAAAAATTAGTTAACTTTCGGTACAGGTGAGGAACCAGAAAGGAGCGGAGAAATAAATAAAAATAATAGACATAGTAAATTACAAACGAAAAAATAAATTACAATTACAGGGAAATAAATAAGATTTAAAAAATTAGGGTAAAACGGACAAGTTTGAGGAGAGAGGGAGTTTAAACAGAGCAAATGATAATTTTTACAAGAAGTTAAGGTACAAATTTAATTAGAAAGACTTTTGACAAGATCTAACGAGAGACATCGTACATTTGAGGAGCTCAGGTACTTTCAAGTTAGATTTCTCGTTACATTTTGACGTTTTCTCTTTCCTTAGATTGGCTTCTCGAACTCCTCACCTCTACTCTCCTCAAAATCGGTCTATCCTCTTTACTTCCGGATAAATCCGTCAGAGAAATTTTCCAACTTGGGGCGAATTGCGATTTTGCGGCGGTTCAAGTGGAACAAAGTTGCCATCTTACAACAAAACAACGACGTCTTCACGGGAATCAGCAATTCTCTGGTTGACTTGCTAAAGGCTGCTAATTTCACTGTCCTTGCTTACGAGAGTTACAAAGATCATCCAAAGTTTGCAATAGAAAACCTTAAGGTATGATTGACACAAACCTGAGAGGTAACACATGACCCTGTGACTCATTAAAAAGGTGCTCTTGTAGTTGTCATCTTTTTGAGTTTAAGATGACGAGGTATTGGAGTTTATCAAGCAGATCAAGCTTCTGTTTTCTCCATTTGTCAATAACAATTAAGTGCTTGGAGAATCCTAACATTTTACGAGGGTGACTCTGGTCAGCATTTTGGGAAATGAGAACTTTGGGTATAAGTTACACGAGACCCGTGGTGTCAAATACAGAAACTACTCGTGTGAAAAACTACGGGAGACACCGATGCGCCAAGGTTTGCACTTGGTAACTGATGTGATCCTGTGTGGGAAACAAAGAAAACCGGCGTAACTATAAATATCCAAGTTACCAACCTATTCAAAAATATGAAATCTGATAGTCTCAATCCTTTCTGATAATGTCATTTTATGTTACAGAAAAAAGATGCTCGTATCATATTTGCATTTTTCTACCCAGATCAACATTACGTCAACTTTTGTGAGGTTTGCCTTATTTTACTTTTCTAATTTATATTCAGTTCAGTTATTTGCACGTTTCTTTTTAGCCTATGGTACTTAAGACTTTACCATCCGTTTTCCTCACGCAGCTTAAAGGAGCTACGTCACGGTTTGCGCATCTTCAATTTTTGGAATTCGTCGTTTGTAATCCTTGTTAATCTTCTCCATCCCTAACCATCCTTGCTCCTTTATGGTTTATTTTTATCTCGTTGGTGTTTTATATTTCAGTAAACAACTATTTTTCGGTTTCTTTCGATTTAAAGGTAATTTTGTGCGTGGCCAAGATAACTCAAAATACCGTGACTGAACTGCTTTAAAACGCAATTTCAGCTTGTATGATGAACGACCTTCATGTATACGTACCTACCTACTTTTTTACTATTTATGTCCGTTTGCCGTAAATTTCAGGCGTTCAAGCAAGGTATGTATGGGCCCAAGTATGTGTGGATTTTGATCTCAGGGCGGAATCAGGACAACTGGTGGAAACTACAGAGTCCCCTTGTTGACTGCACGCCAGAACAAGTTCGAAAAGGACTAAGTAACAACATCGGAACTGGAGAATTGAAAATCAGTCCAATAGCGGGACCAACTAAATTTGGCAAGGTACAGTATTTTAAATAGATGGCAAGGTCTTCTGCAAGCCAAATCGCATTCAAAAGTAAAGTTATTTTAACTGCACCCAGTGACAGATTATACTCAGGGTGTTGTAGGATTCTTTCCACGTCAGGCGTCCATTGTACGAAAACCTGTGTTATCCCGAATATGTAAGATAAGTGAACTGAATCAATGCTTACTGAACAGTATTAAAACATTAGTTATCCGTAGTCAAACCAAGGATGAGGGTAAAACGAAATCAGTAACTGAAAAAAGATGTATGCCTTTGTTTCAATCAGGGTTCAAATAAGCTTCAGTTGAGGAAAAGTGGAGAGATTGATTATGGGAACTGAAACCTTATTTAGTGGCAACCTTCCTGCACCTGAATAGGATTCCATTACTTCTGATCTGAATCAAATAAGAAATTACAAATTGCCATCCATTTCATAATCAGAACGATCAGAGTCTAGGAAGGTGTTATTAAACTGAGGCTAATAACAGTTGAAATGTATTGGTCTGAGGAGAGTTCAATAGTGTTTAATAAAAAAAAAAATCATTTAAAATATAATTTGCACTTAATAATAAAAGTTGTTGTTGTTGTTGTTGTTGTTGTTAAAAAAATTAGGGTAAAACGGACAAGTTTGAGGAGAGAGGGAGTTTAAACAGAGCAAATGATAATTTTTACAAGAAGTTAAGGTACAAATTTAATTAGAAAGACTTTTGACAAGATCTAACGAGAGACATCGTACATTTGAGGAGCTCAGGTACTTTCAAGTTAGATTTCTCGTTACATTTTGACGTTTTCTCTTTCCTTAGATTGGCTTCTCGAACTCCTCACCTCTACTCTCCTCAAAATCGGTCTATCCTCTTTACTTCCGGATAAATCCGTCAGAGAAATTTTCCAACTTGGGGCGAATTGCGATTTTGCGGCGGTTCAAGTGGAACAAAGTTGCCATCTTACAACAAAACAACGACGTCTTCACGGGAATCAGCAATTCTCTGGTTGACTTGCTAAAGGCTGCTAATTTCACTGTCCTTGCTTACGAGAGTTACAAAGATCATCCAAAGTTTGCAATAGAAAACCTTAAGGTATGATTGACACAAACCTGAGAGGTAACACATGACCCTGTGACTCATTAAAAAGGTGCTCTTGTAGTTGTCATCTTTTTGAGTTTAAGATGACGAGGTATTGGAGTTTATCAAGCAGATCAAGCTTCTGTTTTCTCCATTTGTCAATAACAATTAAGTGCTTGGAGAATCCTAACATTTTACGAGGGTGACTCTGGTCAGCATTTTGGGAAATGAGAACTTTGGGTATAAGTTACACGAGACCCGTGGTGTCAAATACAGAAACTACTCGTGTGAAAAACTACGGGAGACACCGATGCGCCAAGGTTTGCACTTGGTAACTGATGTGATCCTGTGTGGGAAACAAAGAAAACCGGCGTAACTATAAATATCCAAGTTACCAACCTATTCAAAAATATGAAATCTGATAGTCTCAATCCTTTCTGATAATGTCATTTTATGTTACAGAAAAAAGATGCTCGTATCATATTTGCATTTTTCTACCCAGATCAACATTACGTCAACTTTTGTGAGGTTTGCCTTATTTTACTTTTCTAATTTATATTCAGTTCAGTTATTTGCACGTTTCTTTTTAGCCTATGGTACTTAAGACTTTACCATCCGTTTTCCTCACGCAGCTTAAAGGAGCTACGTCACGGTTTGCGCATCTTCAATTTTTGGAATTCGTCGTTTGTAATCCTTGTTAATCTTCTCCATCCCTAACCATCCTTGCTCCTTTATGGTTTATTTTTATCTCGTTGGTGTTTTATATTTCAGTAAACAACTATTTTTCGGTTTCTTTCGATTTAAAGGTAATTTTGTGCGTGGCCAAGATAACTCAAAATACCGTGACTGAACTGCTTTAAAACGCAATTTCAGCTTGTATGATGAACGACCTTCATGTATACGTACCTACCTACTTTTTTACTATTTATGTCCGTTTGCCGTAAATTTCAGGCGTTCAAGCAAGGTATGTATGGGCCCAAGTATGTGTGGATTTTGATCTCAGGGCGGAATCAGGACAACTGGTGGAAACTACAGAGTCCCCTTGTTGACTGCACGCCAGAACAAGTTCGAAAAGGACTAAGTAACAACATCGGAACTGGAGAATTGAAAATCAGTCCAATAGCGGGACCAACTAAATTTGGCAAGGTACAGTATTTTAAATAGATGGCAAGGTCTTCTGCAAGCCAAATCGCATTCAAAAGTAAAGTTATTTTAACTGCACCCAGTGACAGATTATACTCAGGGTGTTGTAGGATTCTTTCCACGTCAGGCGTCCATTGTACGAAAACCTGTGTTATCCCGAATATGTAAGATAAGTGAACTGAATCAATGCTTACTGAACAGTATTAAAACATTAGTTATCCGTAGTCAAACCAAGGATGAGGGTAAAACGAAATCAGTAACTGAAAAAAGATGTATGCCTTTGTTTCAATCAGGGTTCAAATAAGCTTCAGTTGAGGAAAAGTGGAGAGATTGATTATGGGAACTGAAACCTTATTTAGTGGCAACCTTCCTGCACCTGAATAGGATTCCATTACTTCTGATCTGAATCAAATAAGAAATTACAAATTGCCATCCATTTCATAATCAGAACGATCAGAGTCTAGGAAGGTGTTATTAAACTGAGGCTAATAACAGTTGAAATGTATTGGTCTGAGGAGAGTTCAATAGTGTTTAATAAAAAAAAAAATCATTTAAAATATAATTTGCACTTAATAATAAAAGTTGTTGTTGTTGTTGTTGTTGTTGTTGTTGTTGTTTTTTACTTAAAATCAATCGCACCTGAAGGAATCACCGGGATGTCTATTAAACAAAAATTCAGTTTTTTGTCTTAACTTATTTCAGACACCTCAAGAGCTCTACAGCAATTATCTTGTACGTCTGAACGCGTCTGGATACCAAGAAAACACGTTTGCTTCCTACGGATATGACGCCGCCTGGACATGCGCACTGACACTCAACGCTTCTATTGATATCTTGGAGCAGCAGAATTTAACATTGAATGACTTTAATTACAGTCGGTCTAACGTGAGGAAAGTATTTGTCGACATTATGAAGAGAATTTCATTTGCTGGAATGTCGGTAAGTTATGCCTTATTACCCGAGAATAACGGGTATGATAAAATAAAAGATTGATCGAATATGTTCTTCCACGTAAGATAAACAAATGAGAACGATAAAAAAAAAAAAATCACATTAAAACGGAACAAATATCGTGAATTTACATTCGGCCATGACATTTCAAGGGCTTGTAAGAAACTTTAGCCCTTTTTAGCGTGGATGCAGTTTCTTTTCGTTTTAGCAGATTAGTCTCAAACTTGGTATAATTAGGCACATCAAATGATTTCGAGTGCAGCGAAAAGTTAGCATCAATACAAGTCTGGCTTGACTCAGTTACACTTGTTCAGTTATTATTCTATTCAGTTACACGTGTTTATTATTCTATATTTATTATTCTCTTGTCTACCCATATCTTATACATGGATGTCTCCGTTGGGGAAATAATTATGACAGCCCGTTATTTCAACTCATTCGGTTACAGAATAAAGTAGTTAGAATAATTAACGATGTTCCTTTACAAGATTCTATTACTCCTCATTATGTTAATATAGGTTTACTTGAATTTCGTGATATTGTTAAATTATATACGTTTATTGATGTATGAACATATCAGTGACAATAAGCCTTGCAATTTTCCAATATCTCTCGTATCTGAGCAACATAGTTATTCTGCACGAAGTGCATCTACCCAACAATTATTTGTTCCTCACTTTAGGATAAAAATAAGAAGTTTTGCCCTACCGTTATAGGTAAATACTATTGGAATGACCTCCCTCTTTCTGTTCGTAGTATTTCATCTAAACTTCTCTTTAAAAAGGCGCTTTTTAAAAAATCATTTTGCTCAGTATTAAATTTAGTTGATTGCCGTCATGGTGTGTGTGTTGCGTTCTTGTGCGCATGCTTGTGTTTAAAAAAATGGTAATATACAGTCTTTTAAGGGCCTTAATTAGTCTTACTATATTGTGCCCTTCTCCATTTCTTGCTTTATTTAATATCTTCAAATATCTTGAAAGATATCTTGTAATATGATAATGACTTTGTAATACAAAAAAAATATCTTTGTAATATAATAATGAATGGAGGAAATAATAAAACAAAACAAAACAAGCAAATTTGAAATAAATAAACACAAGTAAAGACTAAAAAAATTGCACGAGCGATTTACACGAAAAAATGTATGGGCGCTTATTTATTCCAAATTGAACAAGCAAAATCGTTTGACTATCTATACAAGCTGATTTTAGTTGGGCAGGTTATTCAGAATTGGACTGTCACATAAAAGCCAACTTCTCTTGTTTTTAGGGTCAAGTAAAATTTGACAGCAATCACGACCGGATAACCAAACTTGAGGTCCGACAGATACAAGGTAAGTCCCTTGTTGAGCATAGCAAAGTTGTTCAATGCAATGGTGAACAATTATTGCCCTCGCCGTTTACTATACTTGAAGCTTCTTGTGGCGTGACACTCAACTTTGGGCTTTGTGTCTTAGAGAACACCGAGAGGAGGGTTGCATTCTATGACATGGAGAATGATGCTTTAGAAGAGGATGGCACGAGCAATTACAAGTGGGACGGTGAGACGTTAACCTGTTGCATTGAGAATATTTGACTCGGGAGCTCGCAAATTATTCTATTACATCCAATATCATGATGTACACGTACACGCGAGGGCGAGAGAAAGTTAAATGAGATATACGTTATATAAAACCGTACTCGTAAGGTCGCTGGACTCCAGGTCCCGAGTTCAAATCCCTGCCATTTGATGGATTTCTGCTTGGAAATAACTACTTCCCCACAGTCTCTTACCAATTGTTATTTTTCTAACAAGCTTACTGTTCCATTTAACAGTTTTTATATTTTATTTGGTGTCCACAATACACCGAATGCAAATATAGCGGACCGCTCGGTTGTCGCCCGGGACGAGTCGCATGCAAGCGAGGCTAGTCAGGCTTTGATGTTTTGTTTTGACAGAAAAGTCTTGCTTCGCCGTCGATCTGGTCTGTTTTTGTTTCGCCCTCCCTATAAGTTGTAGTGTTCCTGAATGCCACCAGATGGAATTGAAATCTTCCACAGCAGAGAAAGTGTTTTTTTTCTTTCGTTTCCGCGGTCGCCTCTCGGGGAAAACAGACGAAGGAAAATAGTTCACGATCGCCGAGGGAACTGTTAAAGTTTGTTCGTTCAGGCTGAGAGATCTTAGAAAATGTGTAAA